TATACCGTATAGGATGAATCTTTTTCTCAAAACCTGCACATCCATGATTAGTAATACATTTATTTTGAAACATTCCTTGGTAGTGTAGATTCACGTTTTTTCTTATCATGATCTGTCAGCAGCAATAAGCAATCAAATTTTTACAAAGGAATAGATAGGGGAAAATGTAACAATCTTCTTCCTTAGAACAGAAAAGCAATGATGGGTCATATTTGTACGGAAGAATCATCAGGAAATGTAGATACACATTCGTTAAAATCATGACCCCCTGGTGTAGGGTGCAGTCGTAATGTATATGTTAAGTTTTATTTTAAAAAATATAAGGGAAAAACTTTTAAAATCTTCTTAAAAACCCAGAAAAGCCATAATTATTGATTTGTTCAAATAATCGGTTTTGGTTACGGTTGTATCGCTTAATTTATATTTTAACTTTTTAATATTGAACTGAATATTGTTTATATCGCCAACCAAAGTGCTCGGGTGAGCAATGTTGTCCCTGGGGTCTTTGCTTTTTTCAGAAATATGAAATATGTTAAAAGATGACTTGTTAAATTGATATTTATTTTGTGTTACGTAATGTCTATGATATTACTTTTCGTTTACCCCTAATTTAAATTCTGCAAAGATGCATGATGTTGACAAGTATGTGTTATTCTTAACTGACAAGTTCAGAATAATTAAATTCATCATAATTGAGAAGAGAAGTTTATAGAAATCAGACTTGATACTTTGTTAAAAAGTTCACATTCTTAAAAAAACCCTTATAAAAGCGAGCGATATGCCAAAATGTTCACTCTATCTGTATATGAAACAACAGATTTCAGGAAAAATGCAAAACGTTGGACTGTTTTTAATATTGGCGTTATTTTGTACTATATTCGTAAGTATTAATATTCTATTTCATGCTTTAATGTATATTTGCTTTGTTTAAAACAACAATAATTTTGTACGTAAAAGCAACGTCCAAGAGGTTAATGACTACTTAAAAAGTTGAGAGGAAATAATTTAAAAAGAATCTTTCTCTCTCTCTCTCTCTCTCTATTTGTGTGTGTGTGTGTGTGTGTGTGTGTGTGTGTGTGTGACTCTTTACCGTGAAATATATGGAGATAACGAACAATATTCAAGCTCAAAAGTCCATTAAACAATACAAATTTTGAAGCAGAGCAAACACGGACCTCTAAAACAATAGAGTTGGCATCAGGTGCTATGAAGAAATGAGCAGCCCCTGCCGACTGGTCACACCTGCCGTGTGCTCCTTGTCATGATCAGAAAATAATGGAAAAATCCGTCGACAATTCAGTGTGTAAATAATGGCCTAAGAATTAGACAGAAAATTGTCAGTCAGCATTTGAATTAATGATAAATTGTATTTGCTAACATGGTCATTGTATCCACCATAAAACTTACGAAATGACGACTTTAAACGTGATTACTGATACTTGTTTCATTAATTAGATGTCAATAACTTATCTCATTTTAGAAATTGTTCAAACATAGAGCATGTTCTTGCCTATAGAATCAAATGAGAGATATACATGTAAACTCCGTATGTAGTTGGTGAAGTTATTTTGCTGCATAAGTAAGAGAAGTTTACGATTGAAAAGTTATAGTCATCACGCTAATCATAAAGCTTGGTTGTTAGACTACCATTAGCATCTTTTCTAGTAAAATATCCAAAATATGAAACAGATGTGTCAGACTCTGTGATATCCTTTATTTCAAGTTCACCGGGATATATTGTATAGACATAAGAATGGAAATAATCATTGTTAATTGACAATGTGTCGTTGATATATCTAAGGCCACACCAATAAAATTTCTTGTTCGTCGGACCCTGACGCTCGTATTTTAAAGAAACGTAAAAAATAATATTATTTTAAATTTCCTTCTTCCGGATTTTTCGTTCCTTTCCCGCCCCATTTTTCGTTTTGTTTTAGATACTTGATGATGTCTACGTTTGGAATTAAGTAGTAAATTTTACGCGTCGACAAAAACCGAGACAACATTGATCAACTTGCCGAGAAAGGACACTTGGATTCGGTCCACAATTCAAAGGTGAAGGCCAGCAAGCTGAAATGCAGCACATGTAGGAAATTCACATGCCTCACTTTCATTGACAATAATAAAAACAGCTGACATGTTTATGATACATTTTGGGTATAGAATAAACGTTTAATGTCTAAAGTTTACAATACTATGAATCATGGTGCATTTCAAGCATAATTTATGCATAGAAATGTGTATGAAATTGGAGGTAATTTGGTTTGTTTACACTTTTTAAGCCGACCGAGAGCTATTTTGAGGACATGACGTCAGAAGCTTATTAATAACCAGGGACTACCACTTAGAACACCCCTATTTTTGGATATGAATATTTATCTGACACATTGCTCTATCATTTCGTTAAAAATATTTTAGAAATGATGCTTTAAAAAAGTTTCAAACAAAATAAAACATAAAACATGTTTGTACTATATAAGTCTATATGTAAGCTAATTGTGGTTCGGGTCCACTTGACACTCTGAACAGTTACTGTATTGACTATTGAGCTAATGCTGAACTAATTTGACGGTATCTGTCGAAAAATTGCGGTCATTAACTCCCATGATGCACAGTTGCACAAACTGTTTTAAGCGTACTTCTTTTCACTTACGATTAAGGAACAAGTAAACCTAATAACTCCATCGTGGTGAACAGTGAGGATTGGAGAGCAGATATGTTATGTTTAGTCAGCACCATGGACATAGATAAAAAATGGAGATGCCTGGATGTAAGTGTAATGGATTTAGACTAGATAAAGATGTTAATATACGTTTTAGCTTTTTTTCTCAATAACCATGTGTTAAACACTTTTATTAAGGCTGCATCTATTTTATTTTAGGGAGACTTCTAAGCTACTTGATTCATTTACTTTGGATGTTGAGTGTTAAAGCCCTAGCTCCAGTAAGATTTGGTGGTATTTCCTGAATTTCTACAGTGAAAATAAACTGGTCTCTGACTCACAACTGAGAATTGTTCATATAGTACAGACATGTATGGATCAGAGTCATTCACGAAGGTCTTCAGCTGAACCACAGTGCATGCAAACTTTACGTAGATAATATTTTCATGAAGCCATAGAATAATTGGTTTCCACCTCAGGAAATTCTTTAACAAATTCCTTGATTACATGTATTAATTCCAAGCCAGAAGAAATCAAAGAATCCATCTTCCTTGATTCATCGAAGTAGCTTCCCATAAAATTTAAACAGTTTTGATTCTTCATTTCAAAATATATATCAGTCAACACTTTAGAATAAAAAAAAAGTTTTGCTTTTCATGATATTTTCTCATTTTATATCTGATGTTAAACCTTGCTTTTCTAAACTCTGTGTTTATTATATTTTATTATATATATTTGTGACTTACTCCTATGTAACAATACCTTATCAGTGCTGGCATTAATTGTAAAAGATAAATAGTAAATGACTGTTCTACTGTGGCTGGGATTTTTTTATGTGAATTAAAATTTGGGGCCATGTTAAGTTTCCGGTATTATCCATAAATACTGAAAAATAATGATAATAGTAGTGCTGCTGGAATTGCTGCCAGTTTTGTATGATTTTATAAAGTCTTGATCACATCACATTTTGTGAATACAGTTTTCAAGTATATGTAAAAGGTGAAGATAACAAACAGTGATAAATCTCATAAATGTTGTAGACAAAACAAATCATGAACAGTGCAAAAAACATGGACCCCTGGAAACACCAAATGTTTGACGTGCATTGGAGAGTTAATATTTTATATTATCATTAAATTTTTTTTTTTTACATAATTTTGTACTTTTATGAAATACATTTAAAGAACTTGTATCAAATGTTGTAAAATGCCCTAAAAATGAAAAAGAATCAATGTATTTTTTTTAATTTGTTTTTATTACATATGGAGTAAAGTCATCATGTAATTAAAGTGAGAAACCATGGTAACAATGTTGTTATGACTGTTTTGTTTATGCATAAATATAGAGTATTGAATGTCTTACATGATAAGGGAACTTGGAAAAGACTTCATAATGATTTACTCCAGAAATGTAAAGGAAAACCAAAACAAAATATTATCGCTCGCTCCGTTATTTTACTTCTTCGCCTGGAAATTATGTTGATAAATAATATTCTTATTATAATTATCAAATCGCTCGCTCGCCCCAATTTTTGGGGATCAGTTGTCCGAAGAACAAGAAATTTTATTGGTGTGGCCTAAATGTCCAGTCGAGGGAAAATGTGTTTTTTTTTCTTTTCATGTGAAATATTTTGAACAGATTCTGCTTCATATGAAAACAAAAATAGGTCTGCTAAAAACGGGGTGCAATTGGTACCTATAGACATTCCAATAGATTGATGGAAGATCTTGTCTTCGAAAACCACATAGATATTGTCAACCAGAAACTATGGCATCTTTTTAATATCACTTTTAGAGTTCTTGTGTGTACAATCAGAATTTTTTTTAACAAAAGAATTTTGCAAATGACGTATGACAAGGTAAGTAAATTTACGAGTTCCATTTCTATTGAAAAAAGCACTTGTCAATGATATCAAAAAGCCTGACTTAAATTTATCGTGGTGAATGGTTGTATATAAACTTGAAAAGTCTTAAGTTTTTGTATTGTTGATTTTGGTAAAATTTTGTGATTTCAAATTTTCCTAAAGTTCTTTGGAATTTTTGAATATCCACATCAGATTTCATCACTTCTCGAATATATTGTTGCACAGTTCTCCTGAAGTTTCTCCTTCACTACTGTTAATATTTTAGTTAGGAGTAAAGAAAGAGGCTTGGTAGAACATTTACTGGATCCCGCTATGTATCTTTGTGAGGATTTCTATGAAGTTTTGGGATCCAATATAGATATGGTAATTCAAACCGTCAAATGTTCTTCTCTGTTAAAGGTAACAGTGCTCTCTGAAGATGATGAAGCGTGTGTTTTGAAGATACGCAGGGAGGTTTGCCCTAGGCTACCCAGACTTTTACAATTTTTTGTATGTGTTTATACTTGTATAAAATAGTTATTTTAAGAAAAAGGCACTTGATTCCACCTCAGAAATTTCCAAAGGTCCGTGTTTTATGCCCTCTTAATTGAATTGTTTATAGATTTTTTGAGATCGATCACTGTTCGTTATCTTCATCTTTTACATTGAAAATAGTGGAACAATGTGATATGAATATATATACCTTTTATAAGGTAAAACGTAAAATAAAAGTTCATTAAAAGGATTACTGAATTTTTTTTTTTATTATTATTTTCAGGATTTTACACCGTGTAGAAGGGATTCAGATTGTCACGGTTACAGTAAGTTCCTTAATATTTTTCTGGAACAAAAGATTTACAAAAAATTAAATTACCAATTTTTTATGAGGTTATTTTTTTATCATCTTACATCCCCTTTTTTCTATGCCAATTCTTAAAATAAGAGTTAAGAACTACTCTTCCTTGACATGTATATTCTAAATTACTTTTAAAATTACCAGCATATATGTGCTATTGGAAATATACACAAAATTGATTCTGTCGTTTTCTGATTATGGCTTTTTTTCACATTTTTTTGTTTTTGATTTAAAAAAAAACAACTTATCTTGACTTTCCATTTGACAAATAAGAAAATTCTTTAGTAAATAGTGCAAACTATTTAATTCTAATCAGAATAAAACGGCCTGGAGGTAGGGTTTAGACACAACAAACTAAAATCAAATTTTACATTGAATTATATCAGACAAAAAAAAATAAATAAATAAAAACCGATTCGTCAAGAACCCCCCCCCCCCCTTCCCCCACCTTTTTTTTTTTTACTTTGGATTCAATTGTAAACAATTTGTTAAAATATTCTTTTCTGAAACTGCAAAGTCACCTTTAGTTATATTTACATATAAGTGAGACAACCAGCAGGTAGTGTAGAATTAAATTTGTTCAAAGATGATGTGTAGGGTTGGGCCACAGTGTACAATCAAAGTTATACATGAAATTGTCATATTGGAAATATCTTCAAAAATCTATTTTTAAGAATAGCACAGAGGTGATTAACTATATCTATAGGTATATGTAAGTATCAGATAGGGAAAATTTAAATTTGATTGAATCAATACCTCCCGTGGAACTGTTAGGCAGCTATGAGCAACCGAAGCTTTACATAGCAAACAATGGGAAAATCTTTTAAATCATATTGTCAAAAAGAGAAAGGATATGAATCGTCATATCTCTGTGAAGGCTTCTTCATACAATTGTACCACATAGGATGAATCTTCAATGTAACACCTAGGCTAGGGTTTGGCCATCATTGCGATATAAATATTATATATTAAATCATGGGATAAATTATACAAGTGTTATATATTTAAATATAGGATAAATTATGAAAAATCTTCTCAAGAACAGCATGGTGAATCATATTAAGTTGGATGCATTTACAGGTTGTGTAGAATCACGTTTGTTGAAATCATGAGCACCATGATGGGGTGGAGTATTTTATAAAGATGTAGTCACTGATTGTGCTCCTAATGTGAAAATCCATCAAAAGCAAAGAAACTTTCATCAATGTTATAATAACATGTAATATAATTATAACATACGCATGCATATTTGTACATGTCTGTGTATATTATTTTTTTCTTTGTAGAAGAAAGATGCTGCGAGATCACTTGTCCAAATTTGAAATGGCGATTCTTTTGTATTGCGTAAAAAGATGGCAATCATATATAAACAACAACTGTAAACTTTCATCTGAAACATTGTATTATTCCACTCTTTCCATTCGTTGAATAATAAAATGGCTTACTCGGGCATATTCATGTACAGTGGCATACCATTAGTTACTGTACATGTAAATGTAAGCATACTGGGATCTTCATTAGGAAAAATTTAGCTTGCGTGGGATATAGACAATTGCATTCTGAAAATAACTATATACTAAGTAGACATATCATAACTTAAATACAGTGAAAGAAGAAGGTACGATTTTACCTCTATTGTGCCCTAAAAATTTAATATTTTCAAAGGTTTTGAAACTGGCTTAATTATTAGTTGAGTATATCACAGTGATAAATCAGGAAAGAATATGTCATGAAAGAGTTTCATTGTGGAAATATGACGTCATAAATTTGATGCATTTCTCTATTTTAAACAGAAAAAGCCTCAGAATGACCCATTTCAAGGGTTATTTTCTTTAAGAAAATAGGGTCCACAGCCGTCGCCCACTTTTATTTTTGGATATGTTGTGTAAAATTCTTTGAAAAATCACATATCTCAAATTTTTGTGGGCGATGCCTGTGGACAATATCATCTGAGAGAAAATTCCATTGAAAATTTGTGTCTTCTGCAGCTTTTCATGAAAATACGGGAAAATGCACAAGTTTATGACGTCACAATTATCATTTAGAAGCTCATGTGAGAAAAATGATTTGTATGAACTTTCTGCGTGCAATTGCTTAAAATGTTGTACAATCCGCAATGTTGTCTTATCCGGCCAATTTCTATGGAAACAGTGGTCGTCGTTTTATACAAGTTTAGCTACATCCAGCATGTATCTGTGGTAATACTGTAGCTTATCGAGAGAGACAGAAAGACAGGGGAGACCATCGTCAAACTTAAATTATTGTTAAATAAAATTGAAACATATAAGATTCTTAACACAATTATGTACATAAGCTTCACAGCGACTGAAAATGTAAAGAAAACTGATGATGCGAAAACATACAATGGTACATTGCTCAGCATCAGCAATATAAGCATATATAAGCATCAGCTTCCAGCTAGCATGAGGATCAACATTGAAAAGTAGCATTGCGATGCAATAGTAAACAAAGGATAGAAATAGCATAACAAGTAAGAACTAAGGGTGAATTCACCATGTATCAGAAACCTTCGTACTTCAACAAGTTCTGGTGATATCGCTATGGACCGAATATTATCAAAATAAAGCTTAGCATGTAGTATGGGATTAAGATATAAATTTTGACACAAATACATATGATATTTATTGAAAGATTATCACTTAAAACTTTTTTTAATAAGGCAGATTTTCACCATGCATCAGACAATAATCACCATGCATCGGACGAACCGGAAAAATGTCCTAGCTTTATCTCAATGCTTTAAAATTAGTGTTATTGAACTATTTTTATCTTTTATTTTAAAATTAACCTTCTAATTAAATTTGATTGACTACATCGATCAGCAAATGAGGAGAGATTTTAGTTGCATCACGTCGCATTAGAAAGGCTATACAAAGCTATTTATATGTCAACTTGTACCTTTGTCTCGTGGGTTATCATACTCTGGTTTGTAAAAATAAATTGAGTCCGATTCTTGACGTCATATATCGATAACTTGTATATTCACTAAAAATTTAGTGTTTTCATTTTCTATTTCCGCAGAAAAATAGATGCAGCTGGGTTCTGTATGAAAATGAAAGTGATTACCCTTGCATCGGAAAGTGTCCGATGCATGGTTAATTTGTTTCCGATGTACGGGGAAATGAACATAATAGTAAAAAAAAAAAAAACAACTCTAAAAAAGTATACAGACATGGAAGTAAAATTTCTTTAGAAGTTCTTAAAAAAATAAAAAATATCATTGACAAATTTCACCCAAGTCTGACTCGTTCCGTTTAAGTCTAATTAAAGAATGACAACTCTGAAAATTTGCAAAGTCATAAAATTCTGGTCACTCCCCCTTGATGATGTGAAATATGACGTAATTTCAAGACCATTCTCGGGGTATTTTTATCGCAACATGATAATAAAAATTGGCATCAATAAAAAGGTTAAATCTTCAGATTCAAGACAGAATCAAGTAAAAACACGGAAACACTCAGATTTAAAGAAAGTTTATTGCTTAAAGTTGTCCAAAGCAAGGTATGTGTTCGATGCATGGTTAACTCACCCTACTTACTTTCCATACTAACACCAGGAAATCGGCCTTTTTTCGGTAAATATAAAAAAAAAAAAGGAAAGCAAGCAAAGAATTCTACTTTACTAATTCAAGTTAGTAATGTTATAAGATTAAGGATAATGTCATTATTCTTAATTAATGTGATGCTGATAATCATTATCTACTTCTGGAAGCATGATGCTACTTCTGGAAGCATAGACCTAGATTACATTAGAATAATGAAAACTAGCAAGCAAATAAAGCATATAAAGCAGCAAACATGGGCTTTGAAAAAAAAAAAAAATCAGCACTGAGGCTATGACAAAATTTATTCAACGTACTTTATTACCAATAAACTTTAAAAGTACAATGTGCATGTAGATTGTTTAAGCTAAAATCAAGTATGTTATAAGAATTGCTTGAGTGTATTCTTGGCTCATATATATTTTTTATTCAGAAAGATATAAAGTTGAAGCGGATTTTTTGCTATTACAATGTACATGCATTCTCGGCAAAATGACAACTACTTTCTAGACAGCACAGACTAGCTCCAGGTACTTTTCAGGTAAAGGTTGTAAACTTCTTTTAATGTGTATCAATTTTTATGGGCAAAGACAACTAAACTTGAATAAAAGTCGTTTTCTTCATTCAGCCTAACAAATCTATACATGTATATTATACCAGTCACATTACAACCAGCTAAAACACTACTAATTTGTTACACATAAACAGATTTAGAGAGAAAAATTGTTTCAAATGGTCTAATATTTGTATCTAGAATTGAATACTAGTTATTGAAAAAAATGTTTTATTTTGTTTCTGCAAAATCGTTTAATCTTTGAGAAATATTTTTACAAGCGAATTTAATCTAAAATGGTTGCACAAAATCAATAAACAATAAATCAAACGTTAAAAAAAAAATCCAGGGATATCGGGAAATTGCATATAATCAAATTAAAAATAGGTACTTAAAATGTGCTTAATTCTTAAGTCAAAGTAATGTTTGTTAGTTTTTACGTGATTTCGAGAAGTGGAATCAGAGACATAAATATTTTCATGCTTTTTGTATAACTTACTAATATTGTAAATTGTGTTTACTTATTCTTTAAATCAAAGGATAATTTAGAAGTTATTTACAACCTCCTTTTAGACAGAGTTTAAACATCACTAGAAAATCAGAAGCCCATTATCGTTTTTTTTTTTTTATTAGAGGCTATGCTACTTATTTTTGGGTAGTTTTTCGGCTGACAATCCACCGAAATATGTCTGAAACATTGCCGACTCGGCGTTAAACAATAAACAATCTATCAATCAATCGACTCCCATATTTCCCGGCAGTCGTCAGGGTTCAGTTTTTATACCATTTTGACCACTTGATCAATACAAAGGGTTTCCGGTAGATTTGATCAATTAAAGGGCATACTTATTCTACTCTAGCACTAACCGCCTGTCGCGTCTTAGGGGTTAGTGTTTCCTGATGTTCACTATAAGACTAAGGACAACTGTAAAATAATGTTTGTTTGCCCTCTCCGGACTCAGAATGGAAACAATGTTTCAATTAGTACAGTAGGTGGGAATCTTTTCTTTCTCACAAATTTTAAAATCAATGCTAAATTTTAAAAAAAATATTTTCTGGAATGCATAAAAAATAATTTAATAGAGGTTTAAAAACGTTTTGAGTCGGGCAGTTAATGTCGGTCGGTCGGGAGAGGACAATCAAACATTTTTTAAAAGATTGACTTATTTACTGGATTGTTTTATAAATAGGACATTATTCTTTATCCTCATCTACACATTCATAAAAAGGTTTTAAAATATAATGATATATTCTTTTTAACCTGTTAAATATACAAAAAAAATGTAAGAAAGTATTCTTAAAAGAGGGGATATGGTAGAATTGGGATATATTCACTATAAATTGAAAAGAAGATAATGAACAAAAATAATATTGAAGGCCTTTTGATCTAATATTTTTCAATAATCTGAAAATGTAAAAAAAAAAAAAAAAAAAGGAAAGTCATGGACTTGACTGGTTGAACTGAAACTTTTTTTTTTAAATAAATTGTTTTCAAAAAGATATATATATATATATAAAGTGCCTTTGTTACAAGGGCATTGCAAAGTTTTAATGGATTATAACATTTTACTGGTTCAAATCAATAAGCCAAATGGGATGTGTTTTTTTTTTTTGTTTTGCATTTATTTCGTAGAGATTTGACTGTAGGGTTCTTAGCATTGCAATGGAAAAGGGATAACAAAATTAGCAAAACCAGCTTGTTCAGGTCATTCTTTATGAAATATGTTGCAATTGCTAAGAATTTATTTCGCACTTATCAAAATATAACCAAATTTTGAGAACTATTGGTTTAATTGCTTGTTATATTTTGGTTTACGAAAAGTTTATTTTCCCTAGATATGAATGTCCAAACTTCTTTACCATATCTGTTCAAAGGTAGTGCCACGTCCTCTTACAAGGGATATAATTAGGAATCGGGAAAATTTTTGGCATCTTTAAAAGATCTTCTGGGGAAATACTGGGCCAAAAATGATGAAACATGTATGTGAGTTTTATAACATACTGTAGGTCTATATTTCTTCATATCATGACACTAAGAATGTAGAGCGGTGAAAACAAGTTGCAAAGTTTTACATAGGAATATCTAGGGAAAATATTTAAAAATCATTTTCTCAAAAACAACAAAGCCGTTATTAGTCACATTCATCCAAAAGCATCCTTAGGTAGTGTAGACTGATGCTTATTCCAACCATGACCCCGGCGGTAGAGCAGCA